GGCCAGCGCTGCCAGGGAGCCCCTCATGTCCAGAACCCCTCTGGACAAGGACCGAGGCCAGAACCCTCCCCGAGTGGCCTCCAGGGGTCCTTGGCCCGGCTGTGGGGCCCAACAGCTCCGTGCTGGGGGCCCCGGGGGACGGGAGGGTGGGCACGCACACTTTGTGGGGCTCCAGCATGGGTCACGTGACAAAAGGGGGCCGGGGATGGCCCCGTGTCTGGTTTCCTTCCTGCAGGCCCCACAGACAGGTACTTTCCGTGGCGACACTCCCCTCCGGGCCGCATCAGGACAGCTGAGACCCCTCAGCCCTCTGGATGTCCCCACATACTTCCTGGGCTCTGAGTCTTTCCCAGGGAGCCCCCCTGCCCACACAGTCCCACACAGGGCACCCGCCAGGCAGGGCACAGGAGCCAGGGCGGGGGCCTGGCTGGGAAGGGGGGTCTTATTTTTTTTTCTTTTTTGGGCTGGAGCGATAGCACAGCAGTAGGGCGTTTGCCTTGCAAGCAGCCAACCTGGCCAACCCGAGTTTGATTCCTCCGCCCCTCCCGGAGAGTCCGGCAAGCTCCCGAGAGTATCTCGCCCGCACGGCAGAGCCTGGCAAGCTCCCCATGACGTATTCGATATGACAAACACAGTAACAAGTCTTACAATGTTACTGGGCCCACTCTAGCAAATCTATGAGCAATGGGAGGACAGTGCTACAGTGCTTTTTGGGTCACACCTGGCAATGCTCAGGGGTTACTCCTGGCTCTGCACTCAGGAATCACTCCAGGCGGTGCTCGGGGGATCATATGTGATGCTGGGAATCGAACCTGGGTCGGCCGTGTGCAAGGCTAACGCCCTACCCACTGTGCTATCGCTCCAGCCCGGGAAGGGGTCTTCTAAGCCTCATCTCCTGATGATTTTTACAATATCCTAAATAAGGATGCTCAGTCAGGGGCCCCACACGTCTCAGGCGGGAACTGTGCTCACACAGAAGGCTGACCCCCCACCCCCACCCACACCCCCGTGATGCGTAAGGACGTCCACGCCATGACATGCAAGGCACACACACAGGCCCTATGGCTTTCCCCGTTGGCACTCAGGGGCCCTTCCCAGAGCTCGGGTCACCAAGGGCGGGGTCCTGCTGGCCCTCAGGCCCCGTGCCCCCTGGCAGCACAGTCAGCCACCAAGTCCTCACTCCGGGCACTAGGAAGGCCCAGAACCTCCCGCCTGACGTCGCTTCGTGTGACGGGTGATTCAGAGGCACGACCCAGCGGACGTTTCACGACTCTGCTCCGAAGGTGTCATTAAAACTCCAGAGCCAGGACGTGAGCCATGCCTGGCCCTGAGGCCGCGCTGCCCTCGGCTCAGGTGCATCTGAGTCGCCAGGGGAGGAAGCTCTCTCAGAGCAAAAGCCTCCCAAGAAGGTGCCAACCCCCACCCCAACCCCCAAGACCCCCGCAAAGAGCAGGAGTAACTTTTAAGCTTGTAGCAGCGAAGTCACAGCCACTGGATTCTGGCAACCCAGAATTTGAAAGGTGCCGTTTAAAACAGCCGCAGGGCCAGGAACCTGGGACAGGCTCAAGATGCTCCCCGGCACACCCAGAGGGCTCCCTGAGCCCCCAGGAGTGATCTCTGAGCACAGAGCCAGGCTTCAGCCTGAGCATCTGGGGTGTGGCCTCCGAGCCCACCACCAAATAAAATAGGATCAGACAGCAATGGGGAGGTGATAGGTGTTCTGAACGAGGCCCTGGGTTCGAGTCCCATCACTGAGTGGCCCCGAGCCCCCAACACCGCAGCAACAATCACAAAATTAAGAAAAACAGCCAAAGCAGACAGACTCTTGAGAAGAGGCTAAGCTTTTTCTGACACTGGAGTATCGCCAGTGGAAACAATGAGAAAACTGCTTCAGCCAATGGGAACAGGGAGAGAACCGCCTCAGCCAATGGGAACAGGGAGAGAGCCGCGTCAGCCAATGGGAAGAGCCTCAGTCATTGGGATCATGAGAGAACCACCTCATCAGCCAATGGGAACAGTGAACCTGACCACAGCCAGGGGGACAGAGAGAGTGACCAGCAGGGGACGCAGTAAGCCGCTCTGAGAGTGACCACGGCCAGTGGGGACAGGGGGACTGACCAGCAGGGGACGCGGTAAGCCACTCTGAGAGTGACTGTAGCCAGTGGGGACAGGGGGACTGGCCAGCAGGGGACGCAGTAACCCCTCTGAGAGTGACCGTGGCCAGTGGGGACAGGGGGACTGATCAGCAGGGGACGCAGTAAGCCGTTCTGAGAGTGACCGTGGCCAGTGGGGACAGGGAGAGTGACCAGCAGGGGACGCAGTAAGCCCTCTGAGAGTGGCTGCAGCCAGTGGGGACAGAGAGTGACCGCAAGTGCTGAGCCCAGAGCAGTCCGAGTGAGGATGTCCGGGCAGTGGCCAGCTGGGCTCTTCCCGCTGAGCCCCTGTGAGGCATCCGGCCCTGCAGGAAGGCCCCTGGGCTGTGGGCCTTGGGGTGTCACGGGGGCGCGGGTCAGTCTTTCCTACCTACGCCCATTGCCATGCACCTGCCTGCACCCCCAGGTCCTGAGGAGGCTGCCTGGGTCCAGGGTCTCCCGTCTGCAGTGGCTGGTGCCCAGCAAAGTGTCCGTGGCCTCGGTCGCTGCACAGCTCTGACTGGATGAAGATCAAAGTGGGCGTTTTTTTGTTTGTTTTTTGTTTTTGCTTTTTTTGGTAACACCCAGCGATGCACAGGGGTTACTCCTGTCTCTGCACTCAGGAGTTACTCCTGGCGGTGCTCAGGGGACCATATAGGATCCTGAGAATCGAACCTGGGTTGGCCACGTGCAAGGCCAACGCCCTACCCACTGTACTATCTCTCCAGCCCCCAAAGTGGGAGTTTTTGATTTTTTTTTGGGGGGGGCACATCCATTGGTGCTCAGGGATTACTCCTGACTCTGTGCTCAGAGATCAGCCCTGGCGTGTCTGGGACATTCTGGGGTGGCCAAGCCAGCTCTCTCGCCGTGTTCTCTCTGCTCCCAAAGTGTGTGTCCGTGTTTGCTGGGGCCCGTGGGGAGTGGGCCTGGGGCCCGCGGATCTCCACGTGCCCCAAGCGGTTTGGTTTGAACCCCAGAAAGACAAGCAGCCTTGGAGGAGCGCCTGGGTGAGAGACGCGCGCGGCAGTGCCGGGAAGAGGCGCAGCGTGTCCCTGCACCCTGGGAGCGGTGTGGAAGCCTGACTCACAGACAGCGCCTGGCAGACGCCCAGGACGGGCTGGAGGTGCCAGCCCGCTACCACACAGGCAGGAGCGTCACAACAGTTAGAGGGAAAGTAGGCTGGAAGCCGGCCGGGGGACAGGCGGGCCGCGGGGGATCGGGGGTGGGGGCCGAGCTGGTTCTTCACAGCCTCACTTTGCTCCCGTGGAGGCCGTGGGGATGGAACCCAGACCAAAAGCCCCTGGGCCAGGCGCCCTCACCGAGCGTCACCTCTGCGCACTTTAACGTGTCCAAGGAGGAAAGTGACAAAATTGGTCGGGAAGGAGCCGTGTGCAACAGGGGCTCCATCCAGCAAGCTCCCGGGGCTCCCAGGTGGGGGTCGGGGCAGTGTCCATCCCCCATGGGTTGGCCTGTGTTCTCAAACCTTCAGAAGGCCCCAAGGACAGGCTGGCAGTGGGGGGCAGGTCATGGTTGGGGGTCCCTGAGGACACACAGGCTGGAGCATGAAGGGAGCAGTAGGGGCCTTGGGCTGGGAACTCTGTTTAAGGGCGTTTTGTTTTGTTTTGGGTCACCCCTGGTGGTGCTCAGGCCCCACCCCTGCGGGGCTCGAGGGACCCTGTGGTGCTGGGATCCAGAGCCCCTCGCCCAGGACCGCTGGACGCAGCTGACCCCTGTCCTGGTCTGGCCAGTAGGCTCCCTCCTGCCCGGGGTGCCACTGTGCCCCCAGGAGACATTCCACAGGGACGCCTGGGGGGGGTGAGCGGAAATGTGGGGGAGGGTGTGTCTCCTGCAGTGGACGCAGGCAGGGCCCGGTTCCAGTTGGCTCAAACTGACCTCCTGGCCTGCCCAGGGCAAGACAGTGGGTCGCTGGCCTCAGCCCCTGCCGTTCGCGGGTCCAGGTCCAGCAACCTGATGGTGCCCGGTGGAGAACGACGCTTGCTGGCCCGTGCCCTCCTCACGTGCTGGGCCGCAGCGCTGACCTGGGGGTCCCTGGGCCCCGCAGTGTCCCTGGTACCAATGAGGTGACGAGGCACAGGTAACTGAAGGCCCGAGCCAGGATGGGCGGGAACTTCCTGCGCCCCCCAGCGGGCAGAGAGGGCGGAAGCAAGAGCTGTGTGACCCCCCCCCCAGAACCCCAACAGGGCAGGTTCAGCGGGGTTGCGGGGGTGAGCGTGGGAGGGCGTTGTGGGAGGTCACGGGAGACCCCCAGGCCCGTCCCACCAGGCTCCCCACAGGTGCTCAGCAAACCATCCAAGGGGGCGCGTGGCATCCTGACGTGGAGCGGCCTGCCAGGGCCCTACCAGGCACTTGTTGGGGACGTGGCCTGTGCAAGCCCCGGGCCCCCTCCTGCCACCTCTGGAGTCAGGGTGCGCCCCCTCCCGTGAGGCCCCCGGGCTGGGGAGGGAGGCTTCAGACTCAGTTTCCCCTTTTTGGCACTGCAGGGCTTGTCCACGTCTGGACTCTGCCTCAGGGATCCCCTGGGTCAGGCTGCCCTGTGTGCGTCTCACCCCCCAGGGAGCCCCGGGTGACCTTCAGGTGCTGTCTGGGCACTGGTGGCCTCCAGGACACCCCGACCGCGTCCACTCTGCCGTGCCCCCCACCCCGGCCCCTGGCCACAGAGCTCGGGGCGCGGCTGTCCCCTCTGTCCCCCCGCCCTGCATGCCCCCTGCCTGTCCCCTCCCTGTCCCTGTGCCGGCACCACCCCCTGGCGCCCGCCCTGCCTGGGGGTCCCTGAGGCCGAGGCGTCCCTGGTGGCCCCACCCCGCCTGGTCCCGGCCCACCTCAGCCCGGAGGGCCCCGGAGACGGCGGAGCTGGCACATGTTTTATTGAGTTCACAGGTCTGCCGGGTGGGGGGGGGGCTCAGTAGTCGGACAGCGGGTACCGCAGGAGGATGAGGACGATGAGGATGCAGGAGGCCGCCAGCGCCGAGCTGGTGATGTTGAACAGCCGCGCGGTCTTGGCGTCCTCCACCGCCCCGTTCAGGTCGTTCAGGAGCTTCTTGTCACGGACCTGCGGGGGAGGGCGAGGGCGGGCGTGAGCCGGAGCCCAGCCTTGCCGGGGGCGCGGGGCTGCTGAGTGGGACGGGCAGGCTGGGGCTGCGGACGAGCCCCCCACCCCGGGCCCCCGGGACCGAGCGGAACTGGACTGGTGACAGGGCGGGCGGGGCGTGCTCAGCGCGCTGACTCCGGGGCCCCTGGCGAGGGCACTGAGGAAGGGTCCCTGGGGGACCGTGAGGGGGTCTTCATTTGTGCTCAGGGACGCGCAGGGACCACCTGCTGGGGACAGAGGCCTGGGGCGCGGCAGCATGAGGGGACAGTGGGAGCCGCTGTGGTGCCCGCGGGCTCGTGCGCAGTGCCAGGCCCTGCCCGGTCCCGGCTGTCCACACACAGTCCTAGCTGCCCCCGGCCTGGGCCCTGCTGGGCGCGGCCTCCGTGGGCCCCACACGGGGTGGGGGCATCGGGGCCAGGAGACCCCGGGCACGGGGCAGCCTCGAGTACACAGGAGCGGGGCCAGAGCAGGCTGACCACGGCAGGAGACGGACACAGGCTGACCATGGGCAGGAGAGGGACACAGACGGGCTGGGCACGGGCAGGTGACAGGACAGGGCAGTTGGCCCCTCCCGGGGCGGGTGCGGGTGGCAGGGCGGGCGGGTGAGCAGAGGGGCATAGGGTGGGGAGCACCTAGAGACCAGGGGGGAGGTGGGGGGGGCAGGGGGTGGAGAGTGGGGGGTGGATGGGGGGTGCTGGTGGGTGTCTGGTGGAGGGCGGAGAGCCAAGGAGGGTTGAGGGACAGGTTGCAGCCGTGCGGTGAAGACAGGTTTCCTGTCACCTGTGGCTGCTGGACCTGCGCCCAGAGGGCGATGGGGGGCCGTGGGCACGGGCGCTGGGCATGCGGGTCTGGCTGTGGGTTGCAGGGGGCAGGAGGGGTTGGGCGCAGGAGGTGGCAGCAGCGGGACAGGCGAGGCCAAGTCGGCAGGGGAGAATGTGGAGGGCGGGGGTGTGGGAGGAGGAGACGCCGGAAAGGGGCCCAGGAGACGACGCCCACTGACAAACCAAACCAGAGGGACGAGCGAGAAACGGCCGCGAGTAACACTCCCGCCCAGGGGGGGTGTCGGGGTCCCGCCGCGCCCTGGGCGGAAGCGAAGTCACCCACAAAACTGAACAAAACACCCCGTCTGAAATGGGGGGGACTGCTGAACAGACGCGGGCTTGAGGGGTGGGCGCGGCAGACGCAGATTAAGGCCACCAGGGCCACCGCGCGGCAGCGGGACCGGCCTGTCACGGCGCAGGGCAGAGGAGCCCATGGGGGTGTGAAGGGAACGCTGGGGGTCCCCTCTGCCCACACAGCGACAAGCGCTGAGCATCCCGCCCACACGGGGCCAGAGGGGGGACAGACACAGAGAGGGAGAGAGAGAGATACAGTGACAGAGAGACAGAGAGACAGAGGAGGAGGGAGGGAGAGACAGAGAGAGGAGGAGAGAGAGATAGAGAAAGAGACAGAGACGGAGAGACAGAGGGAGAGACAGAGAGAGACAGTGACAGAGAGACAGAGAGGGAGACAGAGAGAGGAGGAGAGAGAGACAGAGATTGACAGAGAGACAGAGAGAGAGGGAGAGAGAGACAGACAGTGAGAGAGACACAGAGAGAGAGGGAGACAGAGAGACAGAGAAGGGGGGAGAGAGATAGAGAAAGAGATAGAGGCAGGGGAGAGACAGAAACAGAGAGACAAGGGGTGGGTAGACAGGGAGAGAGAGACAGAGACAAGTGTCTGCCACAGAGACAGGCTGGGGGTGGCAGGGAACCGGGACACTGTGTTGGAACATTGTATGACTGAACCGCAACCGGCAACAACTTTGTAACTGTGTATCTCAGGGTGGTGAGCAAAGAAAGGGAAAGAAACCAGGGCTGGCTGGGGAAGACTCTGCTCGGCCACAGGACCCGGAGGAGTGAAGTTGGGGTGGGAGAAGGGGCGGATGGCGAGGGCGCGGGGTGGGGGGGTGGCCGGAGGGGGGTGGCTGAGGGGCAGATGGCTGCGGGTGCGGTGTCCTTGTGGTGACTTTGCACACCAAAGTGCCAATGCTGCCATCCGTGTTGACCTGGACACTTGTGAGCCCTGCCACCCGAGTAACAGCAAGCACTTGAGACTACGAGCGAATCCCGACAATGGTTAGAGCGTGACTATGCACATGGTCGCGACGACGAGCTGAGGGGCTGCCGAAGGGTCGTGTGAAGAGACCTGAGAGGGGGAGGAGGCGTGACTGACTGGTGGCAGCAGCAGGAAGGAAGAAGGTGAGCAGATGTGGTGGGTCGGGTGTGAGGAGGGAGACTGGTAGACGGAGAGGCGGGGGAAGGAGAGCGACACTGAGCACACGCTGAAGAGCTCGGGGGGCCAAGGGCACGGAACGGGGGATGGGAGAGCGTGAGAGGGAGCAGGAAGGCTTACCGCAGGCGAAGGGCGTGGCTGGGAGATGGGGCACGTGTATAAAGGAGGGTGCGTTAAGATGTGATGGGGGAAAGGGATGGATGGCTCGAGGGCGGTGACAGATGACAGAGGGTGGAAAGATGATGATTGATGGATGGAGGATGGGAGGATGGGGGAGGGAGGATGGACAGATGGAGGATGGAGGATGGAGGAAGGAGGATGGAAGATGGGAGGATGGAGGAAGGAGGATGGAGGATGGAGGATGGAGGATGGGTGGATGGAGGATGGAGGATGGGCAGATGGAGGATGGGCAGATGGAGGATGGAGGATGGGTGGATGGAGGATGGAGGATGAAGGATGGAGGATGGGAGGATGGAGGAAGGAGGATGGAAGATAGAGGATGGAGGATGGGCAGATGGAGGATGGAGGATGAAGGATGGAGGATGGGCAGATGGAGGATGGGCAGATGGAGGATGGAGGATGGAGGATGTAGGATGGAAGATGGATGATGGAGGATTGAGGATGGAAGATGGGCAGATGGAGGATGGAGGAGGGGTGGATGGAGGATGGAGGATGGGCAGATGGAGGATGGAAGATGGAGGATGGAGGATGGAGGATGGGCAGATGGAGGATGGAGGATGGGCAGATGGAGGATGGAAGATGGAGGATGGAGGATGGAGGATGGGCAGATGGAGGATGGAGGATGGGCAGATGGAGGATGGAGGATGGGCAGATGGAGGACGAAGGATGGGTGGATGGAGGATGGAGGACGGAGGATGGGCAGATGGAGGATGGAAGATGGAGGATGGAGGATGGAGGATGGAGGATGGGCAGATGGAGGATGGAAGATGGAGGATGGAGGATGGGCAGATGGAGGATGGAGGAGGGGTGGATGGAGGATGGAGGAGGGGCGGATGGAGGATGGAGGATGGGCAGATGGAGGATGGAAGATGGAGGATGGAGGATGGAGGATGGGCAGATGGAGGATGGAGGATGGGCAGATGGAGGATGGAAGATGGAGGATGGAGGATGGAGGATGGGCAGATGGAGGATGGAGGATGGGCAGATGGAGGATGGAGGATGGGTGGATGGAGGATGGAGGACGGAGGATGGGCAGATGGAGGATGGAAGATGGAGGATGGAGGATGGAGGATGGGCAGATGGAGGATGGAGGATGAAGGATGGAGGATGGGCAGATGGAGGATGGGCAGATGGAGGATGGAGGATGGAGGATGGAGGATGGGAGATGGATGATGGAGGATTGAGGATGGAAAATGGGCAGATGGAGGATGGAGGAGGGGTGGATGGAGGATGGAGGATGGGCAGATGGAGGATGGAGGATGGGCAGATGGAGGATGGAAGATGGAGGATGGAGGATGGGCAGATGGAGGATGGAGGATGGGCAGATGGAGGATGAAGGATGGGTGGGTGGAGGATGGGCAGATGGAGGATGGAAGATGGAGGATGGAGGATGAAGGATGGGCAGATGGAGGATGGAGGATGGAGGATGGGCAGATGGAGGATGGAAGATGGAGGATGTAGGATGGGCAGATGGAGGATGGAAGATGGAGGATGGGCAGATGGAGGATGGAAGATGGAGGATGGAGGATGGAGGATGGAGGATGGGCAGATGGAGGATGGAGGATGGGCAGATGGAGGATGGAGGATGGGCAGATGGAGGATGGAAGATGGAGGATGGAGGATGGAGGATGGGCAGATGGAGGATAGACAATGGAGGATGTAGGATGGGCAGATGGAGGATGGAAGATGGAGGATGGAGGATGGAGGATGGGCAGATGGAGGATGGAGGATGGGCAGATGGAGGATGGAGGATGGGCAGATGGAGGACGAAGGATGGGTGGATGGAGGATGGAGGACGGAGGATGGGCAGATGGAGGATGGAAGATGGAGGATGGAGGATGGAGGATGGAGGATGGGCAGATGGAGGATGGAAGATGGAGGATGGAGGATGGGCAGATGGAGGATGGAGGAGGGGTGGATGGAGGATGGAGGAGGGGCGGATGGAGGATGGAGGATGGGCAGATGGAGGATGGAAGATGGAGGATGGAGGATGGAGGATGGGCAGATGGAGGATGGAGGATGGGCAGATGGAGGATGGAAGATGGAGGATGGAGGATGGAGGATGGGCAGATGGAGGATGGAGGATGGGCAGATGGAGGATGGAGGATGGGTGGATGGAGGATGGAGGACGGAGGATGGGCAGATGGAGGATGGAAGATGGAGGATGGAGGATGGAGGATGGGCAGATGGAGGATGGAGGATGAAGGATGGAGGATGGGCAGATGGAGGATGGGCAGATGGAGGATGGAGGATGGAGGATGGAGGATGGGAGATGGATGATGGAGGATTGAGGATGGAAAATGGGCAGATGGAGGATGGAGGAGGGGTGGATGGAGGATGGAGGATGGGCAGATGGAGGATGGAGGATGGGCAGATGGAGGATGGAAGATGGAGGATGGAGGATGGGCAGATGGAGGATGGAGGATGGGCAGATGGAGGATGAAGGATGGGTGGGTGGAGGATGGGCAGATGGAGGATGGAAGATGGAGGATGGAGGATGAAGGATGGGCAGATGGAGGATGGAGGATGGAGGATGGGCAGATGGAGGATGGAAGATGGAGGATGTAGGATGGGCAGATGGAGGATGGAAGATGGAGGATGGAGGATGGAGGATGGGCAGATGGAGGATGGAGGATGGGCAGATGGAGGATGGAGGATGGGCAGATGGAGGATGAAGGATGGGTGGGTGGAGGATGGGCAGATGGAGGATGGAAGATGGAGGATGGAGGATGAAGGATGGGCAGATGGAGGATGGAGGATGGAGGATGGGCAGATGGAGGATGGAAGATGGAGGATGTAGGATGGGCAGATGGAGGATGGAAGATGGAGGATGGAGGATGGAGGATGGGCAGATGGAGGATGGAGGATGGGCAGATGGAGGATGGAGGATGGGCAGATGGAGGATGGAAGATGGAGGATGGAGGATGGAGGATGGGCAGATGGAGGATAGACAATGGAGGATGTAGGATGGGCAGATGGAGGATGGAAGATGGAGGATGGAGGATGGAGGATGGGCAGATGGAGGATGGAGGATGGGCAGATGGAGGATGGAGGATGGGTAGATGGAGGATGGAGGATGGGCAGATGGAGGACGAAGGATGGGTGGATGGAGGATGGAGGATGGAAGATGGAGGATGGGCAGATGGAGGATGGAGGATGGGCAGATGGAGGATGGAAGATGGAGGATGGAGGATGGAGGATGGGCAGATGGAGGATAGAAGATGGAGGATGTAGGATGGGCAGATGGAGGATGGAAGATGGAGGATGGAGGATGGAGGATGGGCAGATGGAGGATGGAGGATGGGCAGATGGAGGATGGAGGATGGGCGGATGGAGGATGGAGGATGGAGGATGGGCAGATGGAGGATGGAGGATGGGCAGATGGAGGATGGAGGATGGGCAGATGGAGGATGAAGGATGGGTGGGTGGAGGATGGGCAGATGGAGGATGGAAGATGGAGGATGGAGGATGAAGGATGGGCAGATGGAGGATGGAGGATGGAGGATGGGCAGATGGAGGATGGAAGATGGAGGATGTAGGATGGGCAGATGGAGGATGGAAGATGGAGGATGGAGGATGGAGGATGGGCAGATGGAGGATGGAGGATGGGCAGATGGAGGATGGAGGATGGGCAGATGGAGGATGGAAGATGGAGGATGGAGGATGGAGGATGGGCAGATGGAGGATAGACAATGGAGGATGTAGGATGGGCAGATGGAGGATGGAAGATGGAGGATGGAGGATGGAGGATGGGCAGATGGAGGATGGAGGATGGGCAGATGGAGGATGGAGGATGGGTAGATGGAGGATGGAGGATGGGCAGATGGAGGACGAAGGATGGGTGGATGGAGGATGGAGGATGGAAGATGGAGGATGGGCAGATGGAGGATGGAGGATGGGCAGATGGAGGATGGAAGATGGAGGATGGAGGATGGAGGATGGGCAGATGGAGGATAGAAGATGGAGGATGTAGGATGGGCAGATGGAGGATGGAAGATGGAGGATGGAGGATGGAGGATGGGCAGATGGAGGATGGAGGATGGGCAGATGGAGGATGGAGGATGGGCGGATGGAGGATGGAGGATGGAGGATGGGCAGATGGAGGATGGAGGATGGGCAGATGGAGGATGGAGGATGGGCAGATGGAGGATGGAAGATGGAGGATGGAGGATGGAGGATGGGCAGATGGAGGATAGAAGATGGAGGATGTAGGATGGGCAGATGGAGGATGGAAGATGGAGGATGGAGGATGGAGGATGGGCAGATGGAGGATGGAGGATGGGCAGATGGAGGATGGAGGATGGGTAGATGGAGGATGGAGGATGGGCAGATGGAGGACGAAGGATGGGTGGATGGAGGATGGAGGATGGAAGATGGAGGATGGGCAGATGGAGGATGGAAGATGGAGGATGGAGGATGGAGGATGGAGGATGGGCAGATGGAGGATGGAGGTTGGGCAGATGGAGGATGGAGGATGGGCAGATGGAGGACGAAGGATGGGTGGATGGAGGATGGGAGGATGGAGGAAGGAGGATGGAAGATGGAGGATGGGCAGCGTGAGCGTGGGGGATGGTGCTGGGACTCAGTCGGGAAGATCTAAGCATTCAGCTTGGACACGGGATGCGCCAGGGGCTCAGCATCTCCTGACCTTCTCCGGCGTCCTGCCAGGAACGGCTCCCAGCCCTGGTCCAGCCTGGGCAGCTGCTGTGCTCTCCTTGCTCCTGCTCCGTGCCCCGCCACCGTCCCTGACCGTGGATGCCCTGCATGGACTCGGGCCCTGGACACTTGGCCCCCGCTTGGACACACCGTGCTGCCCGGACACAGGGCTCCCGCCTGGACGCGTGGCCTCCTGCCATGCTGCCAGTGGGCCTGGATGCTGCAGCAGGACGCCCTCCCTGCGCCTCCCTCCTCAGTGCTCACTGGCCATCGGCCTTGCACCGGCGGGCCCCCACAGTGCCTGAGCCCCTGCTTGGGCCCCACCTATCCCCGAGGCACGTGCAGGCACGTGACCCAGGGTCCCTCCAAACCAGCTGCCCGACATATCTTGGGTTCCATCCTGTCCACCAGAAACACGGCCTCGCCCTGGCTGGGTGCCTGGGCCTCACCTCTGCCCGCCTGATGCCCATCATCCCCTTCGGTCCTCACAGAAGGAGGCAGGGCTGAGAGGGGACGGGCGGGCGGCCTCGGGAGGTGCGGGGCTCCGTGTAGACAGCGGGCCCTGGCCCAGCCCCCGCACTGCAGTGGCCACGGCTCTGTGGGTACATGAGGGGCCGGCCTGGAGTTGGTGTCCAAGCCTGCTGCAGAGGGCGTGGGAGGCGGCTGGGTGGACAGAGGGACACGTACCCGGGTGCTGGCCAGGGCCGGGCTCCCTGCATGTCAGAAGCTCAGAAGCCCGTGACCTACCTTCTCTGACAGATGGCCTGCCCCGGCCAGACTTCCGCAGCCACCAAGGGGGGGGGGGGCTGTGTCCGCAGCGCTGGCCGGGCATGGCGACGGACACCCGGGAGCTGGAGCTGGCCAGCAACTGCCCTTCCGCCCGCTGGACCCCCAGCTCCCGGGGCCTCTTATCTGTGTGGCTGCACGGAGCACACACGTGCTCTCACGTCACATGTGCACTCATGCCCACATGTACGCACCACACAGCCAGGCACACACACCCAACACACGTGTGCATAATCAGGTACACGCATGCTGACACGTACAGACACATGTGTGCACAGCCGGGCACGTACACGCTGACAAGACACACCCGTACACAGGCACATGCATGCTATCACAGACACATGTGCATACAGGCACCACACAATGACGGTCACACATGTGCCTGTCAGTCACGTACATGCTGACACTCAGAATCACATGCATGCACACGCATGCTGAAAGACACACATGTACAGGCATGTGCACACTGACATGCATACTCACGTACATGCATGTGCACAGCCAGGCCCACACTCGCTGGCGCAGACATTCGGACCTTCACAGACCACGCTCAGGCACAGGCACGCACATGCCCACACGACATGCACATACGTGCGCTACAGACCACTCATACACGCACCCAAGTGGTACACATTCTCAGTCTTGAACACACACGTGCGTGCCGCTCCTATACACACACCTGGACACACACGTCCGCACCACACACATGTGATTCGCAAGCCACAGGTGGACTAAGCGTGCTCATGTCCCCCCACACCTAGATACACGCCGCACTCACACACACATGTGCAGAACACGTGTCGTCATACCTGTGCACACATGCTGCCCCCACACGTGTGCAGACACATCCAACCGCGGTACACACACGTGTGCATGCGGCAGCCCCTGCGCAGGGGCAGCGTAAGCAGCCAGGGGCAGGCTGGGGGAGCCCAGGCGGAGCCGCCCCCTGCCCTCCCCGGCACGAATGGGGGCAACTCTCCACAAGAGCCAGAAATGCCCGTCCTGGCTGGTGCCCGGCTCTGCCTGCCCCATCTGCTGCCCTCTCCGTGGGGGTGGGGGGTCTTCTGGGAGCCGCAGCCCTGCCCTCCCCAGCGTCCGCTCCGGACTGGGCTCTCCAGAGACTCTGGGCAGCAGGGGGTCGCTTCCGCCAGGTCCCCGCGGGGCACCGGCCCCCAGGACCCTGGGACTCCCCAGACCTCATCTGTGCCGCACAGCGCGGGCCCCCGGCCCGGCCTCCGTGCCACCCCCGCACCCGCCCCGTGCAGCCCCCAGACGTGCAGCCCTCTCCGCGCGCCCCCCCACCTTGAGCGAGTAGGCCAGGGCGATGAAGCCCAGGCAGCAGAAGTTGAGGTAGACGAAGTTGAAGATGGACCACAGGTAGTAGTCGTTGACCTCGGAGGTGTCGGGGTACACCTCGATGACCGTCGTGGGGTTGGTCATGGTCTTCTTCTCGGCCAGGTGCTTGCAGGCCGGCGGGGGCCCGGCGCGCGCGCTGTCCGTGCGGCTGCTCTTGGACTCCATGGGGAAGAGCGTGGGCGCCATGGGCGGGGAGGCGGCGGGCTCCGCGGGCGCCTGCAGCGCGGGGGGCTTGGACACGCAGGCGAAGCAGCCCTGCGGCGCGCCCGCGGGGGCCCGCGGGAGCCAGAAGGCCCCGTCCAGGGGCGCGCGCGCTTCCTGGGCGCCGTCCGTGGTGCTGCTCGGGGCTCCCGGCGCGGCCGGGCTCTGGCCGGCGCCCCGGGCCTGCGGGGAGGAGCGGCCGGGTGCTACCTCGGCCCCGCGCGCCGTCGGCCGAGCCCGCGGGCCCCCGGGCGCCCCCGGCCCCTGCGCGCCCGCGACGCGCCAGGGCGCAGAGCGCGGTCAGCGGCGCCGAGCCGCAGTGGCTCGGGGGAGGGGCGGCCGCCGGCGCCGCCGTGTCCCCGCAGCGCGGACACCGCGCCAGGCCAGCGCGCCCGCGCCGCCTCCCCGCCCCCAGCGCCCGCCGGGCCCCGCGACCCCGCGCCGCGCACACGCACCGCGACCGCGCCGGACGCACGCGCGGGCCCCGCCGACCCGCGCCCGACCCCCGTCCCGCGCCCCGCGCCCGTCCCGCGCCCCGCGCCCGTCCCGCGCCCCGACCCCCGTCCCGCGCCCCGACCCCCGTCCCGAGCCCCGACCCCCGTCCCGCGCCCAGACCCCCGTCCCGAGCCCTGCGCCCGCGCCCCGACCCCGCGTCCCGCGCGCTCACCTCCCGGCGACCCCGCGCGTGCGGCCCGACCCCCGCCCCGCGCGCTCACCTGCTGGCGACTCCGCGCGTGCGGCCCGACCCCGCGCCCGCCGCTCCGCGTCCAGCCGCACAGCCTGGGTGCCGGGCGCGGGGCTGGCGCTGTCCTGCTGCCCGCGCGGCCCGCGCTGCCCGCCTGGCGCCAGGCCTGACTCACGCCGCCGCCGCCGCCGCCGCCGCCGCCGCCGCACGCCCAGGGGGTGGACCCGACAGCGCCCTCACGGCCCGCCGCTCCCGCCGGACGGACGCCACCCCGCGCCCCGCGACGCACCCCGCACCCCGCGCCGCGCCCCAGACCTCCACCAGCGCGGCCCGCTCTGCGCTGTCCCCTACCGAGTACCGGGCACCCGGCTCTGCGCCCCTGGCCCCGGGGAACCGGCCCCGACCCCCTGCGAGCCCCCCCTCGCCCCCCCCCCGCAGTTGGGCTCTTTCCAGGGATGGGCGATCCGGGGGCACAGTCCCGGCCAGGACTGACCTCCTGCGCGGCGTTCTCCTTAGCCCTGCCTGGGTCAGCCCCCCTCCCCTCCCCTCTCTCACGCCCCCCACCCATGTCCAGCTGCTTGGCGGGGGCTCTAGCGGGTCAAGGGAGTCCTGGTCCTCGCCAGAGGCCGCTTTTGGGGTTCCCCTGCGAGGCCTCCTCGGCCTGGCTGCCGAGGGGCTGAGGGCACTGGCCAGGGACACGGGCCAGTGGGGGGGTGAGAAACCTCCTCTGGCGGCGGACAGGGGGCCTGGCTGTGTGGGGGTCCGGGAATGGGCATCTGGCCGCGCGCCCCCGGCATGAAGGGGGCAGAGCACCCCAAGCCGAGCAGGGGTGAGCACTGGGGGGGACGGCAGAGCCCCCGCAGGCATGAGCCTGGGCAGTGCGGCAGTGCAGGGATGCAGCATGCGCACTTGGGGGAGGGGGTGGCAGAGCCCCCATAGGCATGAGCACAGCATGACTTCCGGCCTCAGCGCAGGCTGTGGCCACTGGCTCCCTGGACGCCATGTCCTTGGACACCCCCCCCCGGGCCCCACCCACACTCCCGATGCCAAGGACGGCACAGTGCCCCAGGTTCAGAGGTCAGCCCCCTTGTTCCCCAGACCCCGGAACAGCTGCCTTGGGGCACTCTCACCCTGCCCTGTCTGCACACCGGCTCACTGGGGATTACTGGGGGTCTCCCCCAGGCAGGGACTCCGGGAAGGTGGAGGGTTTGCCAGATCAGGGTGTGATGCGGGAGACACAAGTTCCCTCGGCCTCCGGCCAGGCTCTCTCTGGATGCCACAGAGACCCTATGAGTGGGGCTGGGGTCCCACTATTGGGAGGATGGGGTCCCACTGTGGGGTGGATGGTGCTGGGGTCCCACCTGTGGGTAGATGGGTGCTGGGGTCCCCTCCTGGAGGCTGGACAGTTGGGGTCTCCTATGGGGCGGAGGGCACAGGGTACACGGACAGGCAGAGGACCTGTGTCACACAGGGAAGGGGACCGAGTGCGAGTTCCCCCAATGTCACAGGCAAGAGTAGGGACCTCCCCCCCCCAGCAAACACACGGCACGGAGACAGGCCCGAGGCTGTATTTCTCAATCAACCTGGCTCTGACCACTGCACAGCAGGCGGCCAGAGAGGGGGGACCCCCCACCACCCCGTAGGTGACCCAGGGCCTGAGCTGCCCCGCCCCTGGCCTGCACGGCTGGACACAGGGGGCTGGTCGAGAAGGGGTCCAATGGCCAGATCAGAGGGGACAAGGTGCAGGGGTGGGGCGGCCGCGGGGCCGTGCTGGGCGCAGGGATGGTGACCAGTAAGTGACCAGCGGGCGCGCCGGTCTCTGCTGCTCTAGGGCCGGGCCCTCCAACAGGGGTGCCGGCCGAGTGTGTCTGTGTGAGTGTGGGCGCCGCGGGCCCTACAGCCTCACGGCCTCCGCCAGGCCCACGCGGTTCTGCTCCCGGTCGAAGACGGTGTAGTAGCGGCCGATGAAGACGTCGCCCAGGATCCAGAGGGGCCCGGCGGGCGGCGGGATGTCCATGCCCATGAAGCCGCTCAGGCAGATGGTCTTCCCGCCCTGGGACACCTGTGAGGGCAGGGTCAGCGCCGGCCGTCAGGACAGACCCCGCAGGGCAGAGCCCATCTAGGGAGACCCCGCGGGACACAGCCCACCCGGGAGACCCTATGGGACACAGCCCGCCCCGGGAGACCCCCGGGACACAGCCCACCCGGGAGACCCTATGGGACACAGCCCACCCAGGAGACCCTATGGGACACAGCCCACCCAGGAGACCCTATGGGACACAGCCCACCCGGGAGATCCTATGGGACACAGCCCACCCAGGAGACCCTATGGGACACAGCCCACCCCGGGAGACCCCCGGGACACAGCCCGCCCATGCCAGCACCTGCAGCGTGTAGTCATGGGAGGACAGGGTGTACTCTTTGCCGCCCAGTGTCAGAGAGACGGGTGGCAGGTCCGGCAGCTTCTCACAGGGGATGATGTACTGCAGGGAGGGTCACAGCGTGAGGGCTCGGGACAGGGCGGGCACGTGGGTCCCTGCCCTGCCCCGCTCCTCCCTGGCGCCCGCCCGCTCACCTCCCCCTGGATGAGGGGCACCGCCCCGATGGCCTTCTGCAGTTCCTTGACCTCGTCCACGGGGCCCACCAGCAGGGATGTGCCTGTGTCCACGATGGCCTCACAGCCTCCCTTGCACAGGGTCAGGCCGTTGCCCACGTCAATCCTGCGGGAAGGAACGGCCATCAGGGCGCACACAGCCCGTGGGCCATCTGGGGCCGGCTCTGTTCACGCCACGGTCGTTCTTAAGGGTGGCTCTGACCGGCAGGGGACAGGTGGCAGGACGGGCAAGCGGGGCCCAGAGACGGTGCAGGACACCGAGGCCCCGCCCCCTGACCCGGACCCCGCCCACCACGAGGCCCCGCCCACTCACCGGTCCATGTGCACCTGCCAGTAGGCCTGGCGGGTGACGTTGTGGTAGGTCATGCTGCCCTTGAAGTACTTGGAGTCGATGCCCCCCAGCATCAGCTCCCCTCCAGGCTGCGCCGTGGGGTCCCTGTGAGGACGGGGGGCGGGTCAGGCACCAGGACCACACACTGCAGTGTCCCCCAGCACAGGGCATGTGGCTGGGACCCCCGCAAGGACCAGGCTGGCGGGACAGGCCTGGTCTGCCTGAGCAGGAAGCGGCAGGGGTGCCCCGAAGGGACCAGCCTGGACAGGGCAACAGTGGCAGCAGCTGGCGAGGGGCCGCCGTGGTGCCCCCAGGTCAGGGGTGACCCTGCCGTGAAGTGGACAAGGAGGGGAGGCTCCACTCCGCAGCTGCGCCCGCCTCCGCCTCCGTAACGCACGGCGGGCACCCAAGGGCCTAATGGGCCGAACTAACCCTCCCCAGCAACAGCGCCGGGCGCGAGGGCCTCTCCCATACGGCCGCGGGGCGGGAGCGAGGAGACGAGCCTGAGACAGGCACAGACGCGGCCCCGTGTGCAAACCACACGTGTGCGCACACAGATGTTTGAGCGTGTGAACCCCCTCCCCCCCACACACAGGAGGGCTGCCCGTAACTCCGGGGGTCCCGGGACCCAGGGCCGGGGGAGCCGGGGGCCCCACGCAGCCAGGCGAAGTCCGAGACCTCCGGGCGGGCTCCTGGGGGGGGGTCGCCTCTGCCGGCAGCCAGCGCGGCCGGCCCACCTGTTCAGGTAGAAGGAGAAGATGTTCTTGTCCACCAGCTTCTGCTGCATGAGGTTGTCGAAGACGGGCGGCACGTTGTTGACGGAGATGCGCGGGTAGGCCATGCCCAGGATGCCGTCGAACTTGGCCGCGATGAAGGTGACGCCGGGCTGCTTGGTGGCCTCCCCGAACAGCTGCCGCGCCACTTGGATGCCAGAGTTGCAGGGCACCTGGGGGCCAGGGGGTCGGCTCAGGCCCGCGGGGAATTCCGGCGAGAGCCCGGGGAGGGCGGACGCCGTCTCAGGCCACGCAGCTGCGGGGTCGGGGGACGGGCGGCGGCCCGCTGGGGAGGGGCCTCCCTGCGGCCACCCGTCATCACCCTCAGCCTTCCACAGGGAGACCCCGCGCCCTGCCCCACCTGCCCAGCCCCGTACCGACACGGTGTCCTGACTGAGGTAGCCCGACAGGCTGCCGGAGCCGTAGTGGATGTCGAAGGTGGTGCCGTTCTTCACGTATGTGCTCGACTTGGCGCTGTTGTACTTATGATGCAGCCCTGCGGGAACACGGCTCAGTACGTGCCCGCCCCCCTCACCCCTGCAGGGACATGGCTCAGTATACGCCTGCTCCCCTCACCCCTGCGGGGGAACACGCTTAGTACACGTCTGCCCCCCCGACCTTGCGGGGACACAGCTCACTACACACCTGCCCCCCTCACCCCTGCAGGGACACGGCTCAGTATATGCCCGCCCCCCTCACCCCTGCAGGGACATGGCTCAGTATACACCTGGTCCCTTCAGCCCTGCGGGGGAACACGCTCAGTACACGCCCACCCCCTCACCCCTGCAGGGACATGGCTCAGTATACGCCTGCCCCCCCTCACCCCTGCGGAGGAACATGCTTAGTACACGCCTGCCCCCCTCACCCCTGCGGGGGAACACGCTTAGTACACGCCTGCCCCCCTCACCCCTGCAGGGACATGGCTCAGTATATGCCCGCCCCCCTCACCCCTGCAGGGACATGGCTCAGTATACACCTGGTCCCTTCAGCCCTGCAGGGGAACACGCTTAGTACATGCCTGCCCCCCCACCTTGCGGGGACACAGCTCACTACACACCTGCCCCCCTCACCCCTGCAGGGACACGGCTCAGTATACACCTGCTCCCTTCACCCCTGCGGGGACACAGCTCAGTACACTCCCGCCCCCCTCACCCCTGCAGGGACAGAGCCGGAGCACACCTGCCCCTGCTGCGAGTGAGCACAGCTCAACTCATGCCCAGCTCTCGCCGTCTACACCCCTGTGTGCAGCGATGAGCACTCGACCCTCCTGCCCACCGCTGGGGGAGACATCTCAGCACAACGCCCCCCACTGCCTGCCGGGGCCCTGCCGGCCACCTGCTGCCCACCCCCGCCCCTCGGTCCGGACTCACAGCAGGCGATGTCCAGCAGCTGGCACTTGACCGAGGGCACCCACAGGTTGGAGGAGCCCGTGTCGAACACGACCGTGAAGCACTGCGGGGGCGTCCCGATGCCGATCTCGCCGTAGTACTGGGCCTGTGGGCGGCACGGTCAGGCTGGGCCCCCGGGCTGCCCCCCGAGCACACCCCCCGCCCTGCCTGGCACCCCGTGAGGCTGGGGAGATGAAACCGGGGCTGGGCGGGGGTCGAGGCATGGCCCCCAGACCCAGGAATGAGAGACCCCCTGCAATGGGGGGGCGGAGCCTGTAGGCGCATGCCCTGGAGCTGGGCAGTGCTGGCCACTCCCTGGCCCTGCCTTCGGAGTGTGGGCCTCAGTTTCCCCGTCTGTGTGAGCTGGTGCCGTGGAGCCCTCAGGATGGCCCTGGCAGGGCCCTCCCACAGGCCGGAGGTTTGGGTCATGGGGGTCACCGCAGCCCCCAGCCCACGGCCCTGGCCAGCAGCTCGAGGGCCACTTGCCTCCCTCCGGGGAGCCCGGTGGGGTGGCCACTGAGTCACACGTGAACAGAAGTAACCGACCGGGTTAGACGGGGTCTGGGATGACTCAGCAAGTCTCCCAGTATGTGTGGGGGGAAGGAGGCGGCCAACCACTCCAGCGGGCAGTCACATGCGGCCCTCGGGGCCAGCTTCCTGGCACAGGCGAGTCCCCAACCAGGAGCAAAGGAGAGGGCCGGGGCGGGGCCGCCTGGGACCCGGGCAGGGGCCGGCACCTGGGCCCGGCTGGCCGGGGCGTCCAGGATGCTTCAGGGCACCCGAGGTGGCTGCTGGCAGGAGAGGCGAGAAGGGTGGGGTGGGGGGCGCCGTCCCCCAGCTCAGGCGGGCGTGAGCCCGGGTGCTACTCACGTCCATGTAGTTCCGGAGCATCTCGGGCACCGGGCTGCCGCTCACGGCGGGGCCCTCCAGCGTGTACTTGGACAGGGGCCCCTTGGCCAGCAGGTTCTCCACCGGCCCCGCGACCTCCGACAAGGTCCGGCGGATGGACTTGAACTTGTGCAGGGGGATTCTGCGGGAGGGAGGCGTGCCGGTGAGGGGGGCGACCTCTCCCGCATGCGCCCCCGCCCCCACCCAGCGCCACACCCGCGAGTCTTGTCTGTGACCCCGACCCAAAGCCCGTCACTGCCCTGTCCCGTGAGGCCTGCCACTTTGCACCCGGCGGCGGGCGGCGGCGCACCCCTGCCACCTCCTCCTCCGAGGAGCCCTCTGGGACCACCATCTGGCACCGTGGCAAGCGCCGCAGCGCCTGCTCCTGGGCGCTGCCCATCGCCAGGCAGGCAGGGGGCGAGGGCCTGGCCCTCCCGGGCCTGCCGTCGTCCAGGTCCCAGGCCCCCCGCGCCGGGCAGAGGCGGGGCCCGCGGGCTGTCACACGGCGGCCTGCCCGGAGCCGGCCCTGCCGGCAGGTGCTGGCCCCTGGCATGCCGAGGGCGGCGCGGGCGGCTCTTGCCCAAGAGCCGTGGGCAGCCCGGTCCCGCGCGCCCCGCCCGGCCACCGGGAAACAGGTGCCGGCCCGGGCGCACCCGCGGGGCGAGCCTGCACCCGTGGGGGCACCCGCGGGGCGGCGCCCACTGCCCGCGGGAGGCCCGGCCGGCCGGCCAGAGCAGAGCGCGACCTCCCAGCCGGCCGGGCAGCGCCGCGGTGGGCGCGGGGCGCGGGCGATGGGGGGGCGCGCGGCCCTCCCGCGGCGCCCCCCACCCCGCGGGGCGCGGACTCACCTGAGCACGGCGGCGGCGGGCGCGGCCAGCAGGCCGAGCGCGAGCAGCAGCAGGAGGCTGGGGGGCTGCATGGTGCGGCGCGGGTCGGGGCGGGCCGGGCCGGGGGCCGCGCGCTTATAGCCGCGATGACGGCGCACTGGGGCCGGGTCAGGTGACCGGCTTGTTTGCGCCCGGGCGGGTCACGTGGGGCGCGGCCGGCGGCGCGGGGCGGGGCCGGGGCGGGGCCGAGGCGCGGCCGGGGCGGCCGGGCCGCGCGCGGGGCGGGCCGGGGGCGGGGCCGGGGCGGGGCCACGGTCGGGGCGGGGCCGGTCGTAGCCCCGCCCCGCGCGCCCGGCCCGGGCCCGGCTCGCCGGCTCTCCCCGCCCCCCTCCGCCTTGCGCGCGGCTCCCCCGGGCCGCCCGCACCCCCCGCGCTCTGACGGCGCCGCCACCCCAGCCGCGGGTGCCCTTGGCCCGGCCGGAGCTCGCCCAGCGGGGCCTCCCCCGCCGCGTGCCCCCGTGCCGGCCGAGAACCCTGCCAGCGGCCGGACGGCCCGTGGGAGCCGCCGGAGGGGGGGGGCGGGTGCAGCTGGAGCGAGGAATGTGCTAGAAGGTGGCAGGTGGACCTGGCCAGACCCGGCCTGGAGTGCGTGTAGTGGCAGGTGGACCAGGCCGGGCCGGGCCTGGAGTGCGTGTAGGGGTCCCAGGGACCCCTGGCTCCTGACACAGGCACACAGGTTCTCTGGGTTCTGGCCAGGGGATTCCCCGGGGCTGGACCTCTGGGATCGGTGTCCCCTGGTCACTGCTGGGCGCCCACACTGTGGGCCAGGTGTGGGCCTGGGGTAAGAAAGCCCCCGGAGGGGCCGGAGCGCCACACAGCGGGGAGGGCGTTTGCCTTGCCCGCGGCCGACCCGGGTTCGATCCCCAGCATCCCATATGGTCCCCCGAGCACTGCCAGGAGTCACTCCTGAGTGCAGAGCCAGGAGGAACCCCTGAGCATCGCCAGGTGTGACGTAAAAGGCAAAAAAGAAAGTAAAAGAAGGATTAAAAAAAAAAAAAAAGAAAGGCCCGGGAGCCTGTGGGGGCCTCAGGTGTGAGTGTGGGGGGCTGCCTGCGGCCTGAGCCCCCCAGACTGGGGTCCCGGGAAGGGGGCGAGGGGTGGGGGTGCGGCCGCGTGGGGGCGCCCCTGCGCGAGGGCCCCTCACCCCAGGTGGAGCAGAGGTGGCCCCAGGGTGTGAGCGCCCAGCGCCCCGGAGGTCCTGACCTCTCCAGCTGGGCTCACTCCCGCCCAGCCTGACCCCTCACCTCCTTGGAGCGGGTCTTGGGGCTTCTGTTGTGACATGTCCAGGCTCAGGCCTGCATTTCCGGGGGCGTCGAGTGCCCGGGGCGGGGGGCCAGTAGGGCGAGGTGCAGCCAGGGGGGCACAGGTCGGCGTGCCTCAGATCACCAGGAAGCCCTGGGGGGCCCCTTGGCCCAGCTGAGGAAACAAGGTGGACGCCTTTCTTGGGGGCTGGCAGGAGCGACAGCAGGGACCAAGTCCCAGAGCCGGAAGAGGACTGAGGGGCCTCACTGGGCGGCGGTCAGTGCAGGAGGGCCAGCTGCACGGCGGCCTCGGGCACACGGAGGAGTCGGGGGTCCAAGGGCGGAGGGCCAGAAGCCTCGAGTTGGGCTTGGGGGCTGCAGCGTGGGTGTCCTCGGTGTGGGGGGCCTGGCAGGAAGTGGGCAGGTCCCCCGGGGGGGGAGGCTGGGGGACGTTCGCCCCGCTCAGTGTCAGCCCTGGTGATGGTCTGCAGGTGCTGGCACGCGTGCGGGAGCGGTGTGGACGTGTGTGTGCACGCGTGTGACCAGGGGTGCAAGCGTGTGGCTACATGTACCCGTGTGTGCACCTGTGCTGTGGATGTGTGCGGGTGGCCGGGCGGGGCAGGTGAGTCAGCCCTCGGGTCGGGCGCCAGGGCACCTGCGAGCCAGGACGGAGCCAGGATGGAGCCATGGCCGGCCTGGGCCGCGCAGACCCCCGAGGGGGCCCCGGGACCAGGGTCTCTGGAGAGGCGCTTCCTGGAAGTGGCACCAGCCTCGTTCAAGGGACAGTGGCGCCTGGGCTCGGCACGGGACCCCCCCAGCACCGCGGGAACGACGGGCCACCGTAGGAAGCTGCCTGGGAAAGGCGTGAGGGCCCGGCAGCCGTGAGGCCCCCCGGGAAGGCGTGAGGCCCCCCTGAAAGGAGTGTGGCTGCCCGGAAGGCGTGAGGCCCCCCTGGGAAGGTGTGTGCCCCCCCGGAAAGGCGTGTGCCCCCCCGAAGGTGTGAGACCCCCGAAAGGCATGTGGCCCCTGGGAAGACACACGCGCCCCTAGCTGCTGGGCCTGTTGCCCACCTTAGTCGCAGGGTGTGGAGTTGGGGCACGGGAGGGGGGGGGCAGGCGGACACCCACGCATGGCCCCTCAGGGCTGCGCTCAGCCGCCTCCCGGAACAGGCTCAGGGAGGAGCGCAGGGAGGAGGCGGGATGGGTGGAAGCAGCCGGAACCGGTTTGTTCCGTTGACCCCTGCGCTTCAACCCACCCCCAGTGCTGACCCCCAGACAACCTCTCCCTCCGTGGGGGGAGTTTGCACGCCACGAGGGTCTGTCCCAGGGGGGCTGCACGGGGCTGCCTGGGGGGTGCTGGGGACCGCTTCTCCCTCGCCGTCCCTGGGCAGGGGGACCCGCCGGGCTCTCGTGGCGGCTGGGACCCCGGGACGGCCAGCTCTGAGAGCTGCGGGTGTGGGGCTGCCTGGGCCCCGAGCAGGCAGGGGCCCCCCGGGAAGTGGCTCTCACGGCTGTGGGACAGGACGTGCTGAGTCACCCGCGGTCGCCTGACTTGCCCCACCCGCATGCTGCTCTCGGGACGGGGGACGGCACTCTGGGCCCCCCAGGCCATGGAGGAGCGTGGAGGGAAGGGCTGCCTGTCAGCTGACCTTGACGTGGCTGGGGGGGCAGGGAGAGGAGGGGTGAAGGCATGCGGGGACGGGAAAGGGGCGTACAGGGAGGGGGAGGGGTGCGTCTGCCTCGGGTTGGCGGGAGCCTGGTGCTCAGACCCCCGCTCGGGCCGGAAGTGCTGCCCCCTCGTCTCCCACCTGGGCCCGACTCTCCCCAGACTGTGCCCAGGCTGGACTGGGGAGCTGTGAGGGCCATCCCGGGGCCCAGCTGCTCAGGTCCACACATGTGTCCATATAGATGTGCCCATGCGTGTGTACGCACATCCATAGACACACGACCGCACACGTAGGCACACACACTGAGACGTAGGTGCAGAGACGCCCTGGGCCCATGGCCCTCTCTGTCTCTCTGAGTCTCCTTGTGTCCCTGTCTCTTTGTGTCTCTTGTCTCTGCGTCTTTCTGTGTGTCCCTGTATGTCTCTGTGTCCCTGTGTCTCTGTCTCTCTGAATCTCTGTGTATCTCTCTGTGCCTGTCTCTGTGTCTCTCTGTGTGTCTCTGTATATCTCTGTGTCTCTGTGTCTCTCCGAATCTCTGTCTGTGTCTCTCTAACTCTCTGTGTGTCTCTCTGTGTCTCTCTGTGTGTCTCTGTCTGACTCTCTGTGTGTCTGTCTCTGTCTCTCTGAATCTCTGTGTGTCTCTCTGTGTCTCCCCGTGTGTCTCTGTATGTCTCTGTGTCTCTATCTCTCTCTGAATCTCTGTGTCTGTCTCTCTGACTATGTGTTTCTCTGTGTCTCGGTCTCTGTGTGTCTCTGTCTCTCTGAATCTCTGTGTGTCTCTCTGCGTCTCTGTCTCTGTGTCTCCCTGTGTGTCTGTGTGTCTCTGTATGTCTCTGTGTCCCTGAGTCTCTGTCTCTCTGACTCTCTGTGTGTCTCTGTCTCTGTGTCTCTCTGTGTGTCTGTGTGTCTCTGTCTCTCTGCCTCTGTGTATCTCTCTGTCTCTGTCTCTCTGTGTCTCTGTCTCTATCTCTCGGATGGGGGCTGCAGAGCTGCTCCGGCTGGGAGGATGTCCCCACTGCTCCCTGGCCGGCCGTGGCGGCTTTCGCGTCTAGCTCTGTGAGTGGCAGAGGGTCCAGCAATGCCCCAGCTGCTGCCAGAACCCCCCACCAGGCCCCTCTGGCACGAGCGGGGTCCCCTGGGACTGTGTACTCGGGACCCAGATGGCAGCCGCTGCCCGTCCTCAGTGCCCACCTGTGCCCGAGCAGCCAGGTGGTGGTTCTGGGGCGGGCAGTGACACCGAGGGTGCCCACCGCCGCTCTGGGACAGACAGCTCCGGCCCCCGCCCTGGGGGTGCCTGGGGGGCACTGCTGACCCTGTGTAGCGCCCCCCGAGGAGAACCCCTGGGGAGCAGCCGAGGCCCCACGCTCAGCCAGAGTCCTGGCGGCCTGGCCGTGCTGCTGGGCCCGTGGACGCGGCCAGGGGGCCTAGCCTTGGCCTGTCCGTTCGCGGAGAGGGTGCCCGCCACTGCCCCTGGCTCCCAGCCTGACGGCCCCCTTGTTCTGGGGCAGTGGTTGTGTGTGGGCAAGGGGAACCCCAGTGAGAAACTGGGGGGTTGGAGGCCTGGTCTGGAGACCAAATGGGTACAAAGCCCCTCCCCCATCTGCCTCCTGTCCCCTAGCCTGTCCCCCACAGAGACACCAGAGGAAGTTGCCCAATCCTCATCAGCTCCCCGATCTTGCGTTAGCTAAGACACCCGCCTGCCTTGTGACAGTCGGGTGGGCAGCAGGGGCTGAGCCAGTGTCCATCCCAGCCCCCCACCCACGGCTGGAGCCAGTGTCCATCCCCCTCGTGGCTGGAGCCAGTGTCCATCCCCCTCGTGACTGGAGCCAGTGTCCATCCCAACCCCCCATGGCCAGAGCCAGCGTCCATCCCAGCCTTGACCCTATGGCTGGAGCCAACGTCCACCCTCCCCTTGGCTGGAGCCAACGTCCAGCCCAGCCTCCTGGCCAGTGCTGCCCGGCCATCCCCTTGCCCTCAGCTCCATGTCCCCGGGCTGCAGGTGCCTGTGTCCTCCCGGGCCCTGAGCCTGGGCCCCTCTGTGCTGTGTGCCTGCGTGTGTGTGGGGGTGGGGGGGGGGCTACCCGGAAATGGCACATTCCCGCTGCCCTGGGCTCGGGGCCTCTCTGCCTTCCCTGCACTCCCACTTCTGTGCCCTGCCCGTGTGCCGGGTCAGGCCCTGGTCTGTGA